ACCAATGGCTTGATTCACAGTGATCCTAATGGGCGTGATGTCCTGCTGCCTGCCTAAAAAATCCTCTCATATAATTTTATTTCTAGAGAGTCCAAATATATCTTTTGCGATTGCAGTCACTGGGGATGGGATTTTAAATGCGTCCACCGGATGATGATGATGGAAATCCCCCATGGTTGTCAGGAGTACATAGAGTTTATGCCTTAATGTGACACATGATCTTGGGCGCCAATACAAGTGTTCAACATCAATTGCAAAAAAAGGAGGAGAAATAGCTTCAATTCTTTGATAACGATTTATTTATTTATATACTATACCTATAAGCCTGCTTTATTTTGTTCATGTTTTTATGTTGCGACTTCAGCTTAGCATGACCTGGCTGAAGTGAGAATCAGGGTAGATACTTGAGAATACATACTGTGCATGGAAACCTTGTGGTCGCATCTATATATAAATACCCTCTTTCCATTTATGGAGCAGTGTTTCAAATGGATATATGGGAATTGATACCACCTCACATATCCGATTAAATGACCAATAATATTTTTGTTTTGGTCATCATTTTCTCAGATAACTCACATTTCCTAGTTCATTAGAACTAATTAATTCCATTAATGTCATTTACTTAAGTCATTTACTTAAAGCATCATATTACTGAACACATGCACGTGTTTTGATGGTTAATTATGTCCCAAGATACCATTAATTGCCGTTTCCAAAATAATTTAACTGGTTAACACTTTATAATAAGGTTCAGTTTGTTTGTTAATGCATTATGTATTATGACCTAACAATGAACAATACTTTTTACAGTTATTAATCAAGGTTAATGTAATTTATGATTAGATAGATAGATGGATAGATAGATAGATAGATAGATAGATAGATCTAAAATTAAATTAAATATTTTGAGTTTCTAAATACTTATATATAAATGGTATATATATATATATAAATATTAATTATTATTTGATCATATATATATATATAGTTTACTAATATTCTGAAAGTTCAACATCTAGTTTTCCTTGAAATGAATAGAATTAGCATTTATATATCCCTCTGACCCATTGAACCTCACTAGGTTCAGATGGATAGAAGTTTTCTACCAAAGCTTGAATTTATGAGTTGAAATTTACTGTGATCCAGACCTTTCAGCACATTGTGAACCAGAAATCCCTTGGAGAATGCAAAGCTCGTAAATCTTTATGGCAAGTAAATATACATAGGATTTAACAATGCAAATCGTGGATCTAGCGTTGCACTAATGAATTGTTTGATGCCTTTAATAACATGAACCAAAATAAAGGACACTCTATTTATTCGGATACATGTTTGGGACAACACTATGCAACTCTTAGCAACGCTTGTGAAAAACCCCTGTTAGCATTCGCCGAATACCCTGCATGCCACGGGTGCTTTATGAGTCTGTTTCTATTTTGTTACTTTGCTAAAATAACTTTTGGTGCACTTATAAACGATGCACATTCAAGCACCTAAAGTGGACAGTTAATATAGTACCGATTGACTGGTGGAAATCAGCCAGCACAGTGCTATAAATTTACACTTTGTCAGATTAAGTTAAATGTATGTAAAATTGTTCTGATCCTACCAGTCAGTTTTCTGACATAAAAATAAACAAATAAAAATAAAATAATAATAATAATAATTTTACTGATCTAGGGCTGTAAAACAACGCTTTCTGAAAAGTAATTTACCAAAAATGTTTAGAAAGACCACAGCTCCATAGAAAAAAGTGAACTATATATAGCCAGTAGACTACATAAAAACATAATTAGTTTAGAAACAAAGTCATATTAATCATTACTGACAGTACTATTCGCAGGTCCAGTATTGTTAACTTAGTTGAACATCTCCCAGCCTTAAATCTGACATTAAGCCATGTTAACATATGGCTGTATCCAGCTGTACACAGCAGTTGTGGCCATGCATCACTGTCTCAGGTTACATAGATTACAGACGAATGCCGCTACCAGCACTCAACCCTTCACCTCTTCAGCTATAGTATAAGTCAAGCATGCTAACAGACAAAATGCTACTATGTACTATGTCAATACAGTCATGGTTGGGCTCAAGAAGGGTGCCTCTACATGTCCCCCTATAAAGTAAAAATATTGTCAACAAGTATGTCAACAGCCAGCTAGTCAATCACCACATATAAATTCTGTCACTTTAAAGCAAAGCAGGCAACCTTTGGGGCTTTTATGACATGTTTTATTATTGGGTTCCTGAGGGAACGTCAGGATGTTCTGTGCTATATACGTTATTGTTATAATATTAGTTTATATAGAAAAAGAGTACATCTGAGTAGAGTAGGATTATACTGTTAGGAACAGCTTAATGAAATAAAAATGGATGTTTCTGATGAATTCCATCCAAACTTTGCTTGGATTAGTTCAGGGCAGGTTCAGTGGACCAAGCCCTCAAAGTCATGGTAGTTATGTTAATCAGCTTTGCCAGCATCAGCCAAAACTTTCTCTGCCTCAGAATAACTCTTTCCCAGAAATGACGGCAATGTTTTCACATTGCTTTCGCACATTGCAGCATCCCAATCATCCAACGCTGTAAATATACACACTGTATAAATAGAGGATCCTAGGATAATTTAGACCACTGGATCAAGCAGAAGGTGAGCTGGGAGAGGGGTGGCTTTTTGCCTTGCCTGCCCAGTGGCACCGTTCCTCTTGCACTGCGGTCACGTCAGCATTCTTGCGATACCTTTCCTCCGTCTCTTCCCTTTCTCCCAATCACACACCCCTGTGTCCATCAGCTGACCGCAAGAACTGTACAGTGTTACATAGGTGTGCTGTAGTGTAGACTTATCAGTCTCTGTTGGGTCTTTTTATGTTTTTTTTATTTTTATTATTATTTAAAATATACAAGATTATTTTATAGAAGTCATTTTTTTATGATTTCTAATTTGTCTTAAAGTATTTTACATTTATGCTAAGGGACTGTTGAATGCTTGATTTTGATTGGTTGACGAAAGTTCTAAAATTTTCAATTATTTTCAGGGAAAAGCACGGCTAAACTTGTTCCAGGCAGGTCTTGACCTTATTAGAGTTCATTATCACTTCGCCAAATGATTTCAGTTATTTCAGGGTGTGTTCACACTTGCCATGCTTGGTTTGATTAAAATGAACCCTGGTGCGATTGGTCTGATAGTGCGGTTCATTTGAGTGAGTGTGAATGCTGCCATCTGAACCCTGCTGTGCACCAAACAAGCACTTCCAAACAAACTGTGGTGCAGTTCGAATGAAATATGAGCATAACATGGACCAAAGACATGTAAGCTAACCAAAAACAGGACATGATGTCACAAGATACGACCCTAAAAAGGACAGAATGCTCAAGCATACCTGTTTTTTCTCATCATATAGTCACGATGTTGGCCATTCGGTACAGGCATCAGAACCACAATTTTAGCAGTAAAATAGTCTAGCAACTTAAAAGCTACATGATATTTTTCACTGACATGGAAATAACAGCACTGTTTTTGAAGCAGATAAACTTACAGTTTCGCTATTGTCTCTCTCTCTCTGCATTAATAACAGCATTACTCTATCAACGGCTCAAGCCTCCTTTACTAGGTCTAAAAGGACATTTTGGAATTAGCAAAGGAGTCGTGGGATGAGCTGCATAAGAAATTAGTCCAACACACAAGAGCATTTTAAAACCTGACAAATGTCTTGAAATACAACATATGAACAATGTCTTGAGGTGTGGTAACTGTAGTAAAAGCAGAATAATTGACTCCGGTCCATTGAATTATTAGAAAATAATGCACACCAGAGGCGTTATTCTATACTTATTTAATATTAAAAATATATAATATCAGCACAACCTACTATACTTCTTGTATTTTAATAGCATTCTTGGCTTCCTGTTTTTTCTTCTTCTTTTTTTTCAGTTTTTGTCAGCATTATTTTATGTTACTATGAAGGTCTCTCTAAGATACTAGGCATTATCCACAAGGCAGCATAGATGCCCTCACTATACATCACTTACTTCCTCACATTCCTCTTCCTCTTGTTTTTATAAACATGTCAGTTCAGGGACTTCTGATGTTCAGGTGTTTGATTTTCTGAAGCGACAACTAATTCCTATCTTTTATCACCCAGCACACATGGTTGAGGTATTTCAGTGTGCACCTGGAAGTTTGCAACAGGAGGCATTATAAAAGGTTTAGTACATAATAAAGAAATTACAATTAAGACACTTTGTCAGAGACATAACACATTTTAGATGAGTAAAACATTTGTATTATAATTTATTGTAATATTGTTGAGTATGAAATGAGTATGAAAAGTCATGAACAGCTGGTCTCTAATCTGGTATCAAAGTTTGTAGGAGGCGGCAGCTCATAAATGCAGTCTTAACTACTTCAAACCAGAAATAAAACTTTTATTGCAGGCTTGTTACGGAACCATCTAGTCTGGCATCTGCTTGGTTACTTAAAGCAATTTCGAATACAGTTCTCATACAGTAAACTTGCTTTATTACAGACAGAACATACACCTGACAAATTGATTTTGCAGTTACGGTTAAACTGTAGCTGCAGTAGTAAGCAGAGTAAAATGGGCAGCCAGAACATGATTTTAATATTATAAACTACAATTTGATATAAGTTTTAAACTTACATGTTTATTTAAAAACCAAGACTGTTATTCCAGAAAGAGATACAAACTACAAGTAATGATATTTATAATCAAGATTAATTTTTATTGTATTACTTGACAGTATGATATTAGAAGGTAGAAGCAACTAATTATAAACCCATGTTGCACCCAACAATAGGCTGATATCTTTCTTTAGACTGTGTAGATTACAGTTTAAGAAAACACAGATTAAAAGAAATGAATAATACTTTAACCCAAAACATAATGTCCAATGGACATTTGCAACAGTGAAAGCATTACACAGAGATTAAAAGAAATAAAAAAAGTATAACACTTAGAATTCAAAAAAAGTAAAGTGATGAAAGTTGTATTATGCGAATGTCTAAGTTTTACAGTTAACAGTTATAGGCATTATAACATGCATATACATACAACAGAGGAACTGTGAGCTCTATAGCACTCTGATGAGATTTCCTTTACATAACTTCCTTTACACATATCTATTTTAATTAAAAATGTATTCAATGTACAATGTACAAATATCCCTGTAGCCATAAACGTCAACACTCATAATACACTTTTGATTTTTATATATTTTATATATTGATATATATGCTCTGTCGATTCAAATTCCAAGCATCCTTTTGCTTGGAAAATAAACGGGGATATCTGGGTCCAATAACACGGAGAAAGAGTACACATTCTTCATTTACATATATAGTCGACAACAATACAAAGCTGGTTGAAAATTTACAAAATTATCCTTTTAAGATTAGATTAGATTTTCATAAATTAGGTTTAAAATAGTTACTATATTAAAATCAAACATAATAGGTAATATTATGCTAACTGTAAAGGTACTAACTCCATTAAGTTTCTCCGTTAAGTTTACGTATGTACAGTATATTTCCTTTAACCCTTAAACAACACAATGCAATTCAAAATATGAGTAAAACACAAGAAAAAAAATTATAAAGAAAGTTACATTATATCATCAACACAGTACACTGGGCCCTGTTAGACTTTTCATAGTACTGTATGTACTGTATATGCAAACAACATTGTTCTAACAATGACTCGCATAGTTTACAACTTAGTTCAGCTTTTGCTTCCAGTTTAAAAAATCCTTCTGTCTGGTTCAGAGATCTGTGAAACAAAGAGTTGATATGGTTTTTAATTATATAATTTTTTTCCACATTTATTCAATACATCAACATACAACATGGGACATTTATCTTGCTGATAAAAGAAAATAGGCTCCAAAATGATAAAATTGACTTTACTTTTTCCCATGAGCTGTAAAGCCAGCTCATAACCTCCTACATGCATTTAGCCTTTGACATGACCACTTACCTCAAGCTAAAACATCAGAAGAAGAGCACTTGATGTTATTTGTGAAAAACATGTGAAAAAGACATTTACAGACATGCTCACATTCATTGAAAACTGATCAGCTTAATGTTTTGTTTAACCTGTAGGCTTGTTCACACCAGTGTTAATTTTGACATTCTCCGTTCATGCGACGCGAAAGAGTACTCGCACGCTGTGAGATGCACTTTCTGTGTGTTTATGCTTCAGTGTCTGTGCTCAGAAAAACGGACCGAAATGAGTTCTCTCTTGCGTCGTCAGATTTATCCATATGTCTGCTCTTCTCTTACTCCCACATATTGACATTTTTTAACGTTTTATGCGACGTGCAGCAAGTGTATGTTAGCTTATGTCCCGCCGGTTCATATGTACGCATCTAACCTTCGAACCACGCAGCAGATTCGTTCTGAATGAATCTCTTCCCAAATCGTCCCTCCCTAACATTTTCGTCTCGTTTTTATTCGTTGACGAAAATGTCAATAGATTTACGTCATAGTTTTTGTCATTCAAAAATAGTTTTAGTTTGTTATGGTCTCGTTGTCGTCAGTGAAAAAAAATGTCGACGAAAATTATGACGAAAACTATTCGTCAACAAAATTAACACTGGTTCACACAATGGCTGCAATGACATCTGTATTAACATTTATGAATGGCCACTCAATTATCAAGAGAAAAGCTGCTTGTTATCCAGTTTAACACAAATACTTTCATTATAGGCTTACAAAAAGTCAGGAGTGGACCATACACATCGGAATAGACTCGTTAGGCTAAGCTGGGGTACATAGTAAACTGAGCCTGAGATAACAATCTCCTAACCCCCTCTTAAATAGAGAGAGGAAAGCAGGTAGCTGGAAGACTGGACATTCCTTTAAGGATTTATCAAGACAAAACCAGAGGACTAATCTAAGAGCTCCAATCTGTTAAACTGAAGTGGAACCTCTAATTATATCAGAGCTGTTAGGGCAAGTTTGTAGAGACAGTTTAAATTTCCATCTCAATACCTTTTTGTCCCTTTCTACTTTAGATTTAAGCTTAAGATACCCAACTGAACTTTAAATGTAACAGGTAGAGTGTAAAGCAGTTGTTGCAGTTTCTTAATTGAGATACACGTATATCATTTGTAATTCAGTTTTGAGGTCACAGAAGCCACATTATCATGGATTTTTATCCTTGGAATCCATTTAAGACACTTTTTTGTTTTTGCGATAAATCATTTAGTTCTCATTTCTGCTTCCATTGGAGTCCAGGACTGAGGCTGGGGTTAAACTTCAAGTGTCTTTCTTACAACCTCATGTCTGGTTCCAGGTGTGAAAATTGTGATTTGTGTGTCTCATAATCCAAAAAGGACACATCCTGAAGGGATCAGTTTTTGAAAATAGTTTTACCTCTTACACAACACCTACTGCTTAGAGATTCATTACTCGGTTTTATCTGCAAAAAAAAAATCTCTTCTGACAGGCCAGCAAGATCGGCCAATAGTGAGCATCAATCAAATGCTTTTTCTCCAGTCACAAAGAAATCTTGTAACATGAATAATCGTAAATTGCGACTCTATTTCTCGTAATTGGCGCTCACAATGTAACTTTGTATATCACAGTGTGGTTTTATATCTTACAGTTGCAACTTTGTCTCATGTAATTGCCATTGTATTTCTTGTTATTGAAACTTTAACTGCAACTTTAAACTTTATTTTTACTTTGAGTCGGGAATGGCTTATGTTCTATTATCAGTTAATACTGACAGCTGAGCATAAATAACTAAAGATGCTTCTGCAAATGACTGAATAACCGGATATTTAAATAAATGTAAAAAAAAAAAATAATAATAATGTGACATAAGTTTGTACTTCCAGCCACCTCACTGCATCATGCCAAAGCTGTCTTGTCAAGACTTTCCTTTTACTAGCAGTTAAAAGAGTCTGTGTTGGTGGAGAGGTGTCCTGTCAATCCCACTCTAAGGAATGTGGCTATGATGCCCAGGGCAGATACGGGCAGGTGAAGGTATCTATCTTTCAGCAGTGGGCTGATCACAGCCAGGCCTGTGAAGCCGCTGCTCTAGGACACTAGAATAGAAAGCTGGAAGAGAGAGAATGTGCTATCGGATGCCCTTCCTGTGAATTGTGTCTTTTCAGAGACCCATCAGTCAGACATGTGCCTGAAACTGTGTGTGTGGAAAGTCAGCTGTTTATTATTAAAAAATAAATAAATAAATAACAATGAAAACAATACATAGGATAAAACATCACAGATTATGATAATCTGGTTGCTTGTAGTTTTGTATTGTGCATGTCACAAACCAATATATGTTAAAAAGTAAATTATCTTTGGATTCAAACTATAGAGAGAATTTTCATTTGTGGGGTGAACTATTACTTTAATTAAAAAGGCTTCCAAGATATTTTGAAGGTACCATTTATTACTTTTTAATGATTATTTTTCTCAAATATTAAACAAGTAAGAAATATTAACATTACCATACCATTTCACTGTTAAATAAATAAATAATTAAGTATTCATGAAAAACAATATGTGACCCTGGACCACAAAACCAGTCTTAAGTCGCTGGGGTATATTTGTAGCAATAGCCAAAAATACATTGTATGGGTCAAAATTATAGATTTTTCTTTTATGCCAAAAATCATTAGGATATTAGGTAAAGATCATGTTCCATGAAGATATTTTGTAAATTTCCTTCTGTAAATATATCAAAACTTAATTTTTGATTAGTAATATGCATTGCTAAGGACTTAATTTGGACAGCTTTAAAGGCGATTTTCTCAATATTTAGATTTTTTTGCAGCCTCAGATTCCAGATTTTCAAATAGTTGTATCTCGGCCAAGTATTATCCTATCCTAACAAACCATACATCAATGGAAATCTTATTTATTCAGCTTTCAGTTGATTTATAAATCTAATTTTCGAAAAATGTACCCTTATGACTGTTTGTGTGGTCCAGGGTCACATATAAGAATAATAACAAATTTGTTTTACTAATTACAATACTTATTTCATGCAGTGCAAATATTTACTTATTTATGTAAATCACAGCCTTTGCAGGTTGATAATCTTCAGACTTCAGTGAAACTACTGGAATGCCAGGAGGTTTGATTCTGAAAAATGACCATGAGCCAAAGTCTATAGAAATACAAAAATGGTTCAATCCTATACTTATGAATGGGGGAAACTGCAACGTGCAATATGGCGGAATAGTCCCGCCTTTTAAATGAAAGAGCCAATCGCTGATTGGTAAAGTCATTGCATCACTGCAGCAGCCGTTAGAAGCTCCGGTTCCCATAGAAACCTGTGGCTAGATCAGCCAATGCACATGCGCAGTCATTAGCATGTTATGACTGTGCATGCACATTGGCTGGTCTAGCCTGAAAAATAAGCTTTTTTAATGCTATTTGAACATAAGAAACAACATTCATGGGGCAGTTCATATTAGATTTTGTTGCTGATTTGAAATATGTAATTTATTTGTGAGTTTTTGAGATTTCAGGATTCCCCCATTCATTTAGATATGGCTTGGTCTTGGATGAGCTGCCCGGAGGCATTGCGAATATGGCTGGCGAGTGAACAGACTTTCCTTGAAAGGAACTTTGCCAAGAGCTCATTGGCAGTCTTCTCTCTAATTAGAATTGCTTGACCTTTGTCCTTTTGTTCCCAGCAAAAAGACGAACCACATGTCAAGCAAATGAAGAAAACTTGTGTGAACGAACAGGCATCCATATTGAATGCATGCACTCTTAGGGTGTGTTCACAATTGCTTCGATTACCTGGTCCCCTCCCCCTGCCCCCGCTGGACTGCGTTCATATTATTTTATTTGGGTCTGAACTGCAGTTTGTTTGCGTCATCAAGCCAGCAGCTGTTTACCCCGTTGCTTAGTAATGACGGTGCAGGAGAAGGCTGCAAAATGCGTAGCATTGCTCTATTCACTTTTGTATTTATGTTTTTGAACCGTTGGTTTTGTTTCCAAAACTTCACGGCACTTACGTTTGTCTTACGAATGTACTGCAAATGCTCTAAAGAACGCTGAAGGCAAACAGAAATGAGATATACAGCTCTCTGCTTGCAGCGCGTCAGTCACGCTCGCCAGGAAAGTAAGAGAAACACACACATAAACACACATTTTTATCAAATAATGCGTCATTAATAGTGGTTCACTTCCGAGATTTGGTACGATGGCATTCATATCAGCAGTAAACCGTACTAGAGTTCACTTGAACCGTATCCCAGACCACCCCTTTTAATTGGACTTGGGTATGGTTTGTGGGTGCGCACACAAGTTCACATCATCCAAATGTACCGAACTTTGACATCAATCAAACCCCGGTGCCCACCAAAAGTGCTAGTGTGAAAGCACCATTGTTTTGACTATATAAATTTCAGTAGTATAAAAAACTGTTTTTCTTTATCAGCGAAATGGTCATAAATTGCACACTTGTAAACATTCTATTGGATATTTATGTGTGCATGTAATATGTGACAGAAAAGTGTCCTTAAGTTGATTCTCGAATGCAACTGATAGAAAACAAAATGTGTGCTAATTGTCTTAATGACGACAGCATTTAATTAATGGACCAACAATCACACTGATTATTTTACTTTAGGAATATTAAGAATCCACATATGGAACTCATATGCCATGAAATATTCCTTTCTGGGCACTTCTGATTGTCTAGACAAACAAGACCGGACTTTAGTGGTGGTCAAACTTGTGTCTGTTGTTCAGAGCAGCTGGTGAGTGTTTATTGCATATGTGTTAAAGAATTGCAGTCTTGTTTGTGTTAGAAAATATATCTTTCCTACCTTGTAAACCTTAGCCAAACAGTGTTTTCACCATTGTGAACACACAGTAAGACAGTCTAGACTTTCAGAAAGGAAATTGACTTTTTTCTATATAAATATACTTTAGAAAAACTAACAAACAAATAGCAGTATAAAGTGGTCACCTGTTAGTTTCAGGTTTTCCTAGTTTGAAATACAAGAATGAAAGAAAACTTATAAAGTTGTACACAAGAGTTCCAAGAAACTCACAGGAAGTTTGAAATATCTATGTATGTTTGCCATGAACTAATTAGCACCCCACTTAAATGACTTCACTGCTTGTAAAGTCACCCAAGCAAATTTATCCCCACTGAAAGCGGCCATCATTAAAAGTATGAGTAGCACAGGATGGATAAAAAAAGCCTAAGCGAAAGGACAGCTGGAGAAGGACAAAATATAGATGAACTTTGAGTCTGACAGCTACTGTATAACAACAACACAGGAAGCATCCAGTAAGAGAGAACATTATGCTTTTTTCTTTTTTGCTTACATTTTTGTTAGGTTTACAAACAGCCATCAATTAAATGAAAAAGATAAGTGTAACTGATTTAAGAAATACATAAATACAGGTTGCATGGTCTTTGAACAGGTGGGCGAGAACGAGCTTCAAGTTTTCTGCCTCACAACTGTGGAAGAATAGTCATTGGCTTGACTCAGGGGCCTATTGCGTTTCTTTTATCCCATTCTGTAAAAATAGCTGCAATCAAGGAAGGTGTGAGGATTTACAGGGAGATCTAGAGGGACACTGATGAATGTTCCCCACGTGAATCAAATGTAGGGTTGCTGGGTCACTGTGGTGGGATAGACCTATATGGGTGTGGTCTCAACATAAAACCTCCTTTCATGACTCTCACTGAGGGTGAATAGGAGAAGCTTTAGAAATATGAGAGGGGATAAAGTAGCTAAATATATGAACACACACTTCCAACAACCTAAACCCAAATTCTCCAAGTCTTATTGCTAAATGGCCTTTAATGTTCAGCTCTGTAATGTTAATGACACCTGTCATTGAGTGTCTTTAATGCAAGATACAGCAGTTTCTACAGAAACAGGTTTTGCACACCTTTAAGATAATAGGTTGTTACCATTTACTCACCCTCGTTGTTCCGAACTCATGCAAGTTTCATTTCTTCTGAAGGACACAAAAGAAGATTTTTGAAAAATAACATCAAACCTCTTTGGTTCTTGTGTGTCATATGGCTTGACATCTTGGCACAACAACCAATGGGTGATGATATTACTGATGGATCACCATTTGTTGGACCCAATTGACTTTTGGATAAAAACATTCTTCAAATATCTTCTTTTGTCTTCTGCAGTAAACAGAAAATTGACACAAGGGTGAGTAAATTGGGTGAACTATTCCTGATAAACTTAGTCTGAAGTGTGAAGAGGAAGTCTATAAGGACATTGTTTGCAACATTCTCTTTGCAACACTGCCTTTTAATGACATTTTAATGAAATACGGTTTCTCACTTACCACCAAATACAGTCATCAGTGTTTGTGTACATGCAAACACTGTCAAATATGTGGTTAATCTTATAAATAAAACCATAATGTATCAATAGAACCATGGAAACATAACAAATAACTAAAAATTAACACCAACAAAGAGAACCAAACTTTACCAGTGACCTATTATGCGTCTTCCACCTAACACAATTACCTCACCAACTCTTTCTGATATGGTGAAACATGTTTCTATTTATGTTGCAATGGCTGAGTAAAGGTTGCATACAACTTTACAACTAGGAAAAGTGCACACAAGATTGCAGGTTTTAACTCAAACCAGAAGGCACCACCTGGTACAGCTCTGAGTTTCTCTCTTTCCCACTCATCCTAAGTTACACCTGGCCAGGTGAGAAGATAACCACATCAAAACGCTGGTAGTCAATAACTGCATGTGTGCATGCACAAACACACATTAGTTCCACACCAAAGCACAGTGTCTAATACTGTTCAGGCCTGGGCGAGTGTCTGATTGTTATTGTAAATCTAGCATTGACTTGGCTTCTTTGTCATTAGAACATATTGTGCAGGCCACTCCTCCAAAAGTTTTAAGATTCAAGTTTTTCCAGATTTCAGATCTTTTTCTTTGTTGATTTAATACATAATTCATCATACTAACCTTTAGCAATTAAACCTGAAAGTAGTGCATAAAGTGCCATTAAAGCAGACAGAGCACTGTTGGCCATAAATGTAAGTGCCTTCACTAAACTGTGCCCAAAATATTGCTGTCTGATTAGTTTTTGTTTCTCTCTTTTGAGTAGACTAAGCACCATAAAGTGAAAAAAGAGTGCTCACGCATTTATGAGAGCCCTATCAAAACCTGGAAATGGATCCTCTACAATGACCGGAGAGCACATGAAAGCATACCCTTATTGGAAAATAATACCCTATATAATAGTCCCTGGGTCTCTAGCTAATTATACTGCTTTATGAGCAGTCATGGTCATTAGTTGTTATCTATGGGGGTGGAATGACCTCTTTCAAGTTCATGTCTCCAACCTCTTCATTAGTTCCAAACCAGCTGGAATGAATAAGAGGTTTTCTCTCTGTTTCCTCCCTTTGATGCTTTAACTGTTTTTTTGTTTTTGTTTGTTTTTGAATGACTGGACTATTTTATGCTAATTATAGTTTGTCAGTGTGTAGCCTTACTATGTATAAATATTTCTAATACTTTTCCACTTTGTGCTTTCCGTGTGTGTATGTATGTATACACTACCGTTCAAATATGTAGTTAAGATGTTATAATGTTAAAAAAGATGCTTATTTCATACTTTAATAAATGTTGTTCTTTTGTACTTTATATATCAAGGAATCTGAAAATAAAAAGTATCACGCTTCCACAAAAATATTAAGCTTCATTATTTGTTTAAATATTAAAATAATATGCTAATATTGTTGTTTTTTACTGTATCAAATAAATTGCAGCCTTGGTGAACAAGGATTTTACAAAAAAAAAAAAAAATCTTACCTACACCAGACTTTAGAACAGTAGTGTGTACATACAGTATATTCTGCATTTTTTCTTTTATATATGCAAATTATTCCATAAAGAGAAAAATTATGCTATATGAAGCACTGTAATAATAACCTATACAGGTGGGTCCAAAAGGTTTGAGACCACTAAGTGAATTGGTCCTATTTTTAAATTTTTTATTACATTTTTATTACCCATTGTATTACAATTGGGTACAAGTACATTTTCAGAATGTCTCAGTATTTAGCCTATGATTTTTATTTATTTATTTGTTTGTTTGTTTGTTTGTTTATTTATTTTTATTTTTGCTGACAATGTTACATTTCTGAAATGGTATGACTGCTGTAATATAAAGCACTATGGAGCATTCCATTGTCCATACCGTGGGGCATCATGTACTGAAATGCTGATGAAGGTCTCTCATCAGCTGTTAACAGAGAAACAAATTTCACTGGGAGTTGCAAACAGAAATAAAGTCTCAACCTGCTGCGGCACAGGTGTGCAGAAAACACCCTGAGAGAATTAAAACTGTGGTATCTCTCTCAAGTGTCTGATGACGTGAGACCTGGAGTGGCATCTGTGGAAATGATGTGATGAGAGATGGAATGCCCTCTACCACATATCCACATGAGTAAAAAGTGAAATTTGCTTGGACTGACCAATGTGAATTGTGATATGAATGTGTGATTTATGCCCTACTGCTCTTTTAGTTACAATAAACATCAAAGTATACTGTTTTTTCCCCCCAGAAGCATTTCCTTTGCTTGAGTACATCTCTAATAGAGCACAGCACTGTATGTATGTATCTGCATGGACTGCTGGAAAACACTTACCATTGTAAAATGTTGGGAAAAGGCTGATTTATTTTAGAAGTAAAGTATCAATAGAGATTTCAGTGAATTCCTGCCCATTGCCGTTGACTGAAACAAAAGGAAGGAGTGGTGAATAGAGAGAGATAGTATTAATATATCTAAACAATTGAATAACCTCAATAGTATTCTCAGTGCTTACGCTAGATTCGCACGGGGCATCGGCGTAGACACTTGACTGACGGCGTGTCTGAAGCTTGGCGCTGACAGGATCATCATAGTGACAACAGCCAATTACATTGGACCGCAATTGGCTAGCGCCTGAGGTAGGGTATTTGCATAAGGCGATCTGATTGGCTGACGCCTACCTTGGCGCTTGAAAAGTTGAGAAATTTTCAACTTCTGCCGCGAGCAACGCCAGTGATGTGACACCGACGGACCCACAATTCAGTTCGGCAACGCATGACGTCACCCATTCTAAGTAAATGAGAATCATTAACGCCGACGCCCCGTGTGAATGTACCGTTACAGTATATTAAAGCACTACTGTGTTTTATAGTCTTTTTGTCTCTCTGTTATGGTCTCTTATGGTCTACAGATCATCTCTCAGTCTACAAACCATGGACAGTCTAACTGACATTAGAAATGTTCTCTCATTCTCACTAACCTTCAGCTCCTGTATTGTTGCTGTTGTTTTCATTGAGAGCATCATCTAGGGATTCCATTGAAGTTTTGGTGGAGATCGTCAGTTCTCTATCAGTCAGATCCACTGCGGTCAGCCCATCCATTTTATCCTTTGTGTTCACTGTGGCCTGAGTGCTGGATACATTTGGTTGGTTTTCTTGTTTAACATCAGCTGATTCTGTAGGGAATGCAGTATGTGTAAGAATTTGTTTTTGGTTGTGGTTATTATAATGGTTCTCAATATCTAAAAGTATGATGTCACACAAAGAAATATAACGTAGTAACAAGCATAATACATCATTTTTACATTATGTAAAATACTTCTTTTTTGCACAAGCTTACAAATTTTTCCATAATTGTAAAGAATGTAGTCACACATGCAGGAGCCTGAAGTTCAGTTCAGATAAAAAGCAAAATAAGTTCATGTTTCTATTCACACCAAAAATGAAATGAATATGTACAGTATATTCCAACCAGCTGTTGTTAATCGACAAACAAATTTACTCTGGCACTGTTCAAATGTGAATACCCTTAAACACTCATCAAATATTTAAACTTTACTATTTATCAGGGTGGCCGCGGGTCCTTAAAAAGTCTTTAAATGACTTAAATTTAGATTCAGTATGTCACATTACCGCAAAAATCTCTCCAGTCTGATGGACCCAGTGACTGTTTACAATCATTGGACAGATTAAAGATTTTTTTCCCCGCTGTAGCCACCGCGTCATCAGAGAGAATTGCGGTAGCAGAATCCAGTCGAACACTAGCTGGTTCCTAGCTACTTTAAATGGTTTAATGCAAGTTTACTGAAAAATGGCTCAAGAATTTTACCTGCCCTATGGGAAAGCTAGCTTGATTAAAACTTAAGTGACAAAAAAAAATAACTAGTGACGCATCAAAACGTGAGAATGATTCTTCTGATTTTATTACATTCAGCTTAACGTATCAATGTCGCGCTGTTGAGGCTTGTGCTGTCTTTCTCTGTGAGAGACTTTCATGGAGAAATCAAATCAAATAGCGTAACGGCACACATAAAGAAACTCACAGAACAAACATACTGAGGTAAAAATTTTTAATATTTAGTTTATTTATAACATGATGTAGTTAACACACCTTGACAAGTGGGCTATTTTGCTTTGGCTATTTTCACGATTGCAAATGTTACACTGATTTTCGTTCAACAAACAAGTAGTTAAGTATGTAAAGTTATTTACATTTTAGTCACAATATTGACTTCTATATTTTGTTCTATTTCACCAACGAAAATAGTTCCAAACAAAGATCAGAACAGAAGTATTGCACATTCTTCAAGCAACACAAGGCATGTTTGTTACTGAATGATTGTGCGTTTTGAAGGAATCGGTTGAATGAATGAACCACCTACTGGCGGTTTAGTCTCATGTTTAAAAGTATGCATTTTCCCCCAACATTTTATTTGTATATTCAAAATTGTATTTAAAACATTAATCTCATAACATTATTTACTGCAGTTGTAATTTTGCAGTGTCAATTATTTAATTTGATTGGTAACAGCCAGTGTATATTGAATTTCTTGATCAATTGTAAGAATTTGTCATGAAAGATGATGCCTACATTTAATAAGTTTAAAAATATGGGCCTTTATAAAGGTATAACACCCTGGGGTAAATATTAAAAACATGCCGATTTAAGTATGTAAAAGCTAATAAAACACTGATGAAAATTTTTCTTCTGAATAAATTGTTATACCACCAACTCAGTGATGCGGTGCTTTTGTGGGGATATTTTGTATGGGATATTGTCTGCTGGTATGAAAAGTTCACTGTATATCGTAATAATAAATAGCATTTTTGACAGTGTGGATATTTTGTTTTCTTTTTACATTAAACACATTAAATATACGTATACATATGTGTATATCCATCACAGGTTTGGTCTTAAATTTCAGATAAGGTGGTATTAAAAAGGTCTTAAAAAGTCTTAAATTTTACTTGTTCATATCTGTAGACATACTTTTTTCCCGACAACTCCAAAAAAACACAATTGCACACAAAACACCTGGGTGTCTGGCCACAGTGGTCTCAAACCTGAGGATATCTTGTGGTCTCTATCATTTTCAGTGCAGTAAATCTTAAAAATAAGCACTGGGAGAAATCGAATGAGCAGGTGGTAGAAACAGCCTTGTGACTGGAAAGTCAGCACTTACAGGATAAAGAGGCATCGTTAAACCATTAGTCACTATGTCATTGCAATGCACACTTCTGTTTTATTTTTTCCTCCATGGTCATTTTCTTTCCCTCTCTCACTGTTACTCACTCTCTCCAACCATGTAGTAATTTAGACCTGGAGGCAGTTGCAGTAAGTAAAGCCGCTAAAGCCAGGAAACGGACTGAGACCCATTAGTTCCTAAAGAGGAACCCGTGGAGCTTGTCAATGACAGGCAACAGATTTTGGTGGGAAAAAGAACCATCCTGTGATTACAGGGAGCTTGAGAAACTGAGACCATAGTAAGTAATGCTAAGCCATTGCACCACTTGCTATAGGCAAACAAACCCACTACACCCTTTTGTTAGTCACGTTTGTTACTTTTACGTTGTCATCTTGTCTAGCATTTTACAAGGTGTTCACAGCCTAATCCATAAACACAAGTACATTTGATGTTGTAACTGGCCTTAAATGAATCAATTAGATTTAAGAATGTAGGGACCTGTAGTATGGACTAAATACATAAATAAATCATATTTTGTGTTCTGTAGTACAATAAATCATACAGGTTTGGGATGATATGAGGGTGAATAAATTAAGACAGAATTTTCATTTTGGGGTGAACTATCCCATTAACACCAGGATCTGGGCTAGTTTAACATGAATTCAGTCCAAAAGTCGTAATGCCATGTACTAAATGTACTAATATAAATTAACAGAGCATTATTCAGTTTCGTCCTATCCTATGACCAAAAAATATGAAAATGACATTAATGAAGGTCAGAAACAAGTTTGAGAAATTCATGGAATATCAAATGAATGTTTTTGTTGATAAAAAAAAAAAATATATTTTTTAATCACAGTCTCTCAGTTCAGTTTAACCCCCTTTAAGCATTCTGTGGGTGATATTGTGTGAATAAGTAATCTATTTTTTGTACTGCTTAAAAATGACAATGTCGTAATTAAGGGAACTTCTAAAGTTCCTCAAACTGCTAGACTGTATAGGGAAATAGTGTAATATCCTGTTGCAAGAGTGGTGAGGGTGAAACACGTAAGCTGTCATTATTTCCAGTCAACTGCAGTCACCTTCACTCTTCAGTTTTCAATAGAGTGCTGGGATTGTTGATATCCCAGATAAATGAAAGGCGCCATGTGCCCCCATCTCTGAGCAATGTCCAGAAAAAAATGAAAAAATCCTCTACCAGCAAACCCAGACAACCAATGGCATCTTTATTTCTGTTATGGGTCTTCCAGATGGTAGGGATCAGACACAAAGACCAGTTGCCTCTGGTCAAAAGTGGCCATTTCCTAAATGCTGAAGGCATTGAAACATGTCCATGCAGGCTCAGTTCAGATAATGGTTTCTGGCAGACACTAAAATATCAGCACAAGATAAATCTTTTGTTCAGAACTAGAAATCTTTTTATTAAATCTTTAATTAAATCTCTTTTTTAAATATTTCTCCTACGTTTTTTTCTTATTATTATTGTATTGTATTGTCAGTATTGAGCACAAGGATTCTTACAGCACAGTGCAACAGCTGCAGTTGAAGATTCTTGGATATTGCATGGCTTTAAGCTTGGAGTTTCCATATAAACTGAGCATACTGAAGAAACTGGACCAGCCGTAAATTTGAGAATTTTGAAGGTTTTTTTTATTTTCTTGTTAATTTTTTGTTATTACTGTTTGAACATTGTTGTAAAATGTAGGATTCTTTACTGAGAAACTGGCAGCTACATACTCTTGTCTTAGAAGTCCATCCAGTGGAGCTCTCTGTTATTGCAACTAGTTCAACAACAGTGTTCTAGTCACTGGTTTGACTAAAGGGACTTGTGGATCATAGTCACAAATCATTTTTGCTCTAGTTGAAAACTTTAGTAAAGTAGAGTTTAGTACAATAGTTTAGGAACTTTCAGCACTGTTTCAAAGTTTGGGGTCGGTATAATATTTCCTTTAGAAATGTAACTGACCCCAAACTTTTGAAAGGTAGTATTTATTTTATTTCATTTTATTTATTAATTTTTAATAACAGCTACCCATATTCACTTTTGTAGTGTTGGGCGCAGCTCTCTCTCTCTCTCTCTCTCTCTCTCTCTCTCACACACACACACACACACACACACTTGTTTCATCTGGTTTGTTCTTATGCTCCTTAGTTCTTTATATAGGTCTTCACACATTGACGAAAATGAGTGAAAACACAACAATCAGCACGTGTGTTGAATTAAATTAAACTATAATGCATTACTCAAGATTAAGTGATTGCCATAGAGTATTTGACAGAAATCAGCTGCTTGTCTCATACCTTTCCCTCCCTCAGGCTTTTCAGCTTCCTTCACAGGCGCTGGGTCCTTAAGCGGCTCGGTGGACTCGACAGGAGTGAATGTTTGTATATCTTTGGGAACAGTGTAGAACACAGGGTCAGTGTAAATAGAGAAATCCCTGTGGTGATGGAAAGTTAAGAATGTCAGGTACCTTTGACTGATGTGGTGTCAAACACCTCTACATCCACTGTGCTGAGTGGGATCTGAGCATCTTCTTGTTTGGGATGTAAGTCCACAGAGTACTTCTGCATTAAACATGATCAGTATGTAGTTTGTATATCTGATGTAATGATGATAAAATATCAAATGCACAGGGAGCCACATATCAAGGATATTAATTTTATTACTGGTTTTCCAAATATTCTTGTTAGTAATAATTTACTAAAAATGTCTTACCCTGGAGTTCTTTTGAAGGCAACAATAAACTACTGCCCCAGAGAGGCACAAAACAACTATAATCAGGATAATTATGTAAGCTGTTGAGAGTAAACAATAAATTAATTAATACAAATAAGATTAATTAAGAACATATATCTTTTTATCTATCTATTCAAAATAAACAAGGAAACTGAAATAAAAATATGTATAGACACTGACAATAAAGAAAAAAAGTCACTCACTTGGTCCATGGTTTTTGCCAGGTTTTTCTGCTCGAGTTGCTGTAAAAATAATAAATTATGCATAGATATACATGCATTGCACAAAGAAAATAAGTTTATTTTTTTGTGAATAGCAAATTTATGATCTAATATACATTTTTTTTTACATAAATTGCTTTAGGTGGTTAATAAAAATAATTTATTTTGACAGACGATGACAGTTTTAAGAGTGTGCTAGAGCACATACTTCCTTCCTGTCTGAGAATGACTCATTATGATTAAAGTTAGAGGTTAAAACAGAATTCACACATTGCTCTTTTGTGCAAAATCAAATGTCATATTTTTATGATGAAAGGCACAATGTGATCATTATGCTTGCACAGTATTGTCTCGCTTACTGGTTGTTTTGCCTGCTGTGCTTTTGATCATATTTTTTGTGCTTGATTGTGAATCCTTTTTCAGAGGTTTGTCTGTGGTGTAATTCTTGGTCTGCGGATGTTCTGAGGGCGGAGGAGTAGGTGATTCTGTTGGCCAAAAAGGGCAAAAACAAATCACCAAATGTAACGTTCTTTGGTTAGAGGTTCCCATTTATGTATCAATACTGAAGCAAGCAGCATAGCATATAAACTTGCTTACAGTTTTTCTACCAATTGTACCATGTTGCTGCATAAAGTGTGTGGACACTTAATTGACAGCTGATCAAGCAAAATGAAAAAGCTACCTGACGTGGTATTTCCATCCGTCGTGTTTGACAGGGCGACAGTGGAGTTTGGAGTGGTAAAGTTGTCTAGAAAGCCCTCTGATGTTTTATTGATTAGGGTGGTGTTGTCAATAAACATTGAAACTGGAGCAGTGGTAATTTCTGTGCTGCTTATCATTGTTGTTGCCTCATTTTCAACAGCAAAGACAAATAAGGCACCTGCATTGTACCAGATCAAGGTTTGGTCAGGTCATGAGGAGCATAGTTATTACACTCTACAAATTATTACATCTATAAATTACAAGTACATCTACAATAATGGCTGAATGACCAATGGAAACCATTTTCCACCCTTAAATGTACAGTAGGAAATAGACGCTTAGTTAGTTGATTATTTAAATCTTATTTAATTCTGCTCCTTTTCTTGTTTTCAATTAGCTATTCGCGCAAATTTTAGCAGTTACTCAAATAATAAATAAATACATTAAAAAAACAGCAACAACAACAACAACAACAACAACAACAAAAATATATCTTTAAACATACCAATGAGGAGATGAATTGATGCGCAGCACATCTTTAGAGAAGATACAGTCTAGTCAAATGTGTGTTCCTTCCTCAGGACAGCAAGTGCTCAGTTTGAAACCGCATAACTTCCACTTCTGTGACCAGCACAGGATGCAGCAGACTGTTACCCAAAAAAAGGCACATAAGGAACTTGAGCACTTTTGTAAAGCCCCGTTTACTGCATTTGCATTATTCAACTAATTAAAGTAAACAGGTTGTGTGTGCTTTTTGTTTACATCAAAGGAATAAAGGGAAATACAGATGTATAGGAACATATGTGGTGCATTGCGGTTAAGCAACTGCATTTATAATTTACAGTCACAAGTAGTTTAACAGTTTATATAATTATATACAATATATATAATTTCTATACACCTCTCAGAAAAAAGGTACAAAACTGTCACTGGGGTGGTACCTTTTCAAAATGTACGCCTTTGTACTTTATTTACCCCTTAAGGGTGCATATTAGTACATGCACAAACGTACATAACAGTACCCAAATGATAGAGTTGCCCCCGTGTTAAATATTAGCAAAGAAGACTGAGAAAAATCTGCATTGTTTATACTTTTGATCTTTCATTAGTTTCATTAGCTCACGGGCCACAATTATTAGCACCCCTTGAAATTCTTATGAAGAAAATATCTATAAAGTATATTCCCATACTTATTTACATTTTTAGAACAGCAGGGTGACTACAAACATGAAGTTGTCCAGTCATGACTTCCTCTTTCACAGGAGTATAAATATGAGGTAACACAAAGACCAAATTTGCTTAATCATGTTAACATGTTATTTCCTCCCTACTCTGTTCACATGGAAGAGGGTTCTTCCGGGTTAAAAATGAGGTTAGCGCATGCGCTGGTTCAAAGGGGAGCGCACGGGTAAAAAGGGGGCTTTGTTGTAGAGGAGCGGTGTTGCATATGTGAGCGCGGTGAAGAAAGGAATAAAGTGCGTTAACTGAGTAAACGTCGTGTTTATTTAATTTAACATGGTAGCAGAGGATGGTTGAAGGATGGCAGCTAGTTATAAAGTTCCGCCGAAATTTGATGAAACCAGGCCATACGAGTGTTGGAAAAATGAAGTTAATATCTGGACGCGGGTTACCGAACTCGACAAAAAGAAACAAGCCCTCGCTGTTGCCTTGGGGCTTGAGGGGAGAGCCTGTGAAACGGCGATGGAAATACCTGTGGAGGATTTAGACAGTGATAATGGTATGGCAACGCTGATGGCTAAGCTGGACGATGTGTTCCTAAAAGAGGAAAAGGATCGCGCATATGAAGCGTATTCTTATTTTGATGGAATAACGAAGAATAGTTCGGTTTCCATGGCGGACTACATAATTGATTTCGAACAGCGATACAATCGGATGAAAAAGTATAATATGACGCTTCCTGACGCTGTGCTGGCTTTTAAGCTATTGGACACGGCCTGCCTCGACGAAAAAAACAGACAGCTAGCACTGACGGCCTGCACAGAGTTGAAGTTTTCATCCATGAAGTCGGCTCTAAAACGGATTTTCGGAGGAAAAACGACAGGCTCGTCAAACGCAATACAAGTGAACCAGGACGTGGCATTTTTCACCGAACAAAGACCACAAGGAAGAGGAAAACGGAACGTAACGTGGCAAAGTGGACAACCAAAGCAGCCATTACCAGGGACTAATCCACTGGATAAATACGGTAAGAGATCCAGGTGTGCTATTTGCCAGTGCACATTTCATTGGGCTAAAGACTGTCCACACAAGAAAACCGAACAAGTAAGAATAACTGAAGATGCAAATATTGAGTAATGTAACATTACATTGTTTACAAAGGCTTCCATGTCAGATCCAGAGATATTCATGACTGAATCATTAGGATCAGCGATTATTGACACTGCATGTACCCGTACTGTGTGTGGGGAGAAATGGCTGGAAAACTATATTGATGACCTCACTCAAGATCAAGTGAACCAGTTGATGCAAACAGAAACTCGCAGTTGCAGACCATTTCGCTTCGGAGATGGGAATTTGGTATATTCCACAAGAAATGTGAAATTACCAGCTAAAATAGGACTGACAAAATGCCTAGTTGAAACAGAAGTTGTCAAGGCTGACATTCCACTCCTGCTGAGTAAAACGTCACTGAAGAAAGCAGGGACCATTTTGAACATGGAAAAGGACAGTGCAGTGATGTTCAAACAATCTATTACTCTTGAATTTACTAGTTCTGGACATTACTGTGTCGATATCAGAGACAAAGACACTAAAAAAGATCAAACTGAAGAGGAAGTTCTAACAGTGACAGAAAATATGTCTCCAGATGAGAAACGCAAAGTCCTTCTGAAGCTCCATAAACAGTTTGGTCACGCGTCGGCAGACAGGCTACAGAGGCTCATTCACAGTTCAGGAAATAAGGACAAAGAATGTTTTACTATTCTACAACAAATAGTATATGACTGTGAAATATGCCAAAAGTACAAGAGGACAAAGCCAAAGCCTGCTGTGGGGTTTCCCATGGCTTCAGAATATAACAAGACAGTGGCAGTGGATCTACATGAGTTAGAACGTCTCAGGTTACGTATGTAAACATGGTTCCTCGAGGGAACGAGACGCTGCGTCGTAGGACGCTTCGGGAACGCCCTTCAGCGTGACCGGCTCTGAATCTCGTGTGTAATCAGACCAATAGATGGGCGAGACGTCACGGGCGGGTGACGTAATGACCAGGCAGCTATAAAAGCACGTGCGGTGAGACCAGCGTCAGCTTCTAGGAGTGAAGCAAGCGCTAGCAGAGATGCCGAAAGTATGGCCCCGAGACGCAGCGTCTCGTTCCCTCGAGGAACCATGTTTACATACGTCACCTGAGTCGTTCCTCTTCAGGC